GGAGAGCAATAAAAGAATCCTGTGATGCTGTACCACTCAATTCTGTGGCACAGACCAACCCTGAAGAGTCCCAGAAAGGAGATCTCACAGCAGTTTTAAAGAAGTTAAATTGTTGGCAGAAGACCAAAAGTGTGGCAAATTAAAGATTTAGAAAACCACCATTCTCAAGGGCAAGACTGACAGAAGGGTTCTGTGCTGTAGGAATAAATTCAACTTAATTTTATAAGGAGCTTTTAGTGACTTTTCAAGTTAATTATCGCTATGAACTGACTGACAATGTCCCATACAGAAACTTGGTAAAATACACATTATAAAACCCAGGAAACACAAGCAAACTGCATTACAATATTCTGTAAAACACAAGTTGGAATGTTAGGAATTTCTCACAAACAAATAATGACAAGGATGAAGGCTGAGGTGAAGCCCCTAATTCCTACCACCCAAATCAAATCATTGTGTGCCAAGGAATACTGTCCTCATTTACCACTGCTTCATCTGAAATTATTTCAATTCAAATATGCTAAAGCTTGTTAGTTTAAATGTTAAAGAGTAATTCTGCACACAAGCTGTATTTCATACAATGTAGAATGAAGAAAACATAACTCAACTAAAAGAACAAAAATCGACAATCACAGAGATCAATGGGCTTGATTTTGAATAGATAATCTAAGGCAGCCAAACTCACAGACTCACCTTTCTAACAGGACCTGCCAGAAGCTCATTTACAAAAGTTCCAGTCTCAAAATACTCAGATTTTGTTCATCCTGATTTTTTCAATACTTATATTTTCAGCACTGTTTTTTCAAAAGGAATAGGGGTCACCCTCAGTTTTTGCAGATGATGCTGAGTTGGGCTGGCTGCTGGAGGGTGGAAGGCCATGCAGAAAGATCTGGACAGGCTGATTGATGGACTAATTGCATGAGGTTTGACAAAGCAAAGTGCCACATTCTGGTCCTGTGTGACAACAACCCCAGGAAAGTCTTGAGGATGGGGGAAGAGTGGCTGGAAATGTGCCCAGAGGAAAAGGAGCTGGGTTTGCTGGTCAACAGCAGCTGAACATGAGGCAGGTGTGCCCAGGGGCCAGGAAGGCCAAAGGCAGCTGGGCTGGATCAGCATTGGTGTGGCAGCAGCAGCAGGGCAGGGATTGTCCCCCTGGACTCGGCACTGCTGAGGCCACACCTCAAATGCTGTGTCCAGTTTTGGGCCTCTCACTACAAGAAAGGCTCTGAGGGTCTGGAGCGAGTCCAGAGAAGGGCAGCGGAGCTGGGGAAGGGTCTGGAGCACAGGTGTGGTGAGGAGCAGCTGAGGGAGCTGGGGGTGTTCAGCCTGGAGAAAAGGAGGCTTGGGAGAAGCCCTGGGGACCTTACTGCTTTCTACAACTATTTGAAGAGAGTCTGTAGTGAGGTGGAGGTCGGCCTCTTCTCCCACATACCAAGTGATAAAAGAGGAGGAAATGGCTTCAAGTTGTGCCAGGGGAGGTTCAGATTGGACATTGGGAAAATTTTTGTCCCTGTAAGGGTTATCAAGCACCTGAACAGTCTGCCTAAGGAAGTGGTAGAGTCTCCACCTCAAAGGAATTTGAAAGACCTGTAGATGTGGGGCTTAGAGACATGATTTTGTGGTGGACTTGTCAGTGTTAGGGTAAGTTGGACTCGTATTTAAGTCTTTTCCAAAATAAATGATTCTATGATTCCGTATCATAAAAAAGTTTCTTTTTCAGGTACTTCAGTGTTTCACAACTACTTTTTTTACCTTGAACCCATTTAAGGCTGTATATTTTATGTTCTGTGGAGATACTTCTGTGGAAGTAAAAACGAAAGTAGTGAGACAGGAGTTTCTTTTGCCTGGGATCAATACTAGGAACTGCTCTGATGAACCAAACTGGAAAGTAAACACAGCATTCTTCTTGGTCAGGTGTTCAAAGAGATGAATCAATAACACAAACCCCAGTGCTTTCAAAATTATAAACAGAAGACAATGAATAGTTTTAAATGAGGATTTTGAAATGTCTCAGAAAATTAACTTGAGGATCCTTTTATTTGTACATTAAGCTGGATATTTGCAAGTGAAGCCTTTTTACAGAGAACACATACAAGACAAAATACAGACATGCCAATTCAGGCAAATCTTCTGTAATTGCCAAGTGGTAATTGCATCTAAAAACTGTCAACATGAATATTTTCTATTGGGCCTTTTTTAGTGTTCATTGAGGAAATTCAAGGATTCAGGTTTGAGAAGTGGATTCCTGTCCCAAGATCTTCATGAGTTTATGAACACTATGTAAACAAGATAAAGGAAGAAAACTGTTCTTGAATTTTAGCAGAAAAACTGCTATTCATGTTACTTCTGGCACTTGAAAATGCTTCACTGGTTCTGCCAGAGGTAGCGAAGCACTGACCGAACAGGTTTGCAGAGCAATGATTATCTTTGAATTTGAGAAATGTCAGAGTTAAAAAAAAGCAAAACTTGTCTGGCCACTATTTGCACAACAGAAATACTAGGTCTTGCAAGTACCCTCCTGAGTGACAGAATAAGAATTCAGAAAGTAAGGGTGAATTTGAAGGCACACAAGTTGTGAAGCTAATAGGAAGAGTGAAGATAAGAAAAGTGAAATTAAGTGGAATGTGACATAAAAGAATAGACAAGGATAGAAGATAGAAGAGAAAGAACTTTGACAAATGATGGTGTGAAAGGAAATGTTATTCCTTCTTGCCAATATGCAGCTCAGAGATTCACAGTTCATATATCTTAAAATTCCTGACAACTGACATATGAAGCAAATGTATGACATGCATCAAAAACCATATTGGTCAAATTTCCAGGATCATAAGCAAAATCTTTGGAAAGAGGTCTTATTTAATTATGCTTATTTTGGGGAAATTATAATATTCAAGTCCTATAAGCTGAAAGTTTGCAGAGAATGAGAAAGAAGGAATGATTCCATGATTTCAACAGAAGACCAAAATACTTTGTGAAAATTATTTCTCCATGACAGCATTAAAAATAACATGGAAATTGGCAGGCCACAGTCAGCTAATCTAATAAACTTTTCCTGATAACTAGATGGAAATGAGAGTAAGTTTCTTAAACTTTACAAAATCCAAGAGAAAAAAGTTTAATTCCTCTTGATTTCTTTACTGAAGTCCCTTACAGAAGTAGATTTTACTCAAAATCTTAAGGCAATTGCATTATTTATAATGGTATCCAACAATCATAATAAAGCTGACAGAAAACTGAAAGGCTACTAAGAAATGAAAAGGAAGTAATATTTATTTAATTTAGTTAAAATAGATGGAATTATAAAGTTATACCAGCCCCATGTGTCTGGAGAAAAAAAATTATCAACCACTACTTAACTATAATTATTAACTTGCTTTAATTGGGAGACAGCAGCTCTTCTTTAAGAAATACATAGCTGAAGGCAAAAAATAATCACTGACTAATAATAATTCCATATATTGATTTGGGATATTAATTGTTATTATTTTAATTCAAGTTTATATTGATTATAATGAGATTTTGCCTGGTGGTTTTCCCAAAGGATTCTTAAGTGAATGCTTTAAATTTGTTTACATCTGTTGTGACTGCAGCACAACTTGGCTCAGATTCTGGTTAGGTCTTCAGCTTCTGCTAACTGGCAGAATTATAATACTGTCATATTAATTATTGCATAAAAGTGTAGTAGATGAAGCTTCCAAATTCAGGAAGAAGAGATCTGAAAACTGAAATGCAAGATGAGGACTAAATAACCAAATTACGTCTTAGAAAATTTCAGCCACCATGCTTTGTAGAAATGACTTCATTTATTTCAGTTTACACATGACTTTTGATGGTGGAGATGCTGACAAAACCTGCAAGTGGTCACAATAAAAGTACCTCAAGAAAAAATCTGTCCTATATAATAACTTTTCATCACTCTAAAATATCTGCATAATGTCTAAGTAGAACAAAACAATTATGATAGTTTTAAACATCTTATTTCAAAGCTCTGTGACTCATCACTTCAACACATTTGATGTTAGAATAATGTAGCAGGGCTCATGGTTGTGTGCAAAGGGTTTCTGTCCTGGAGCATTTAAAGGAAGTCATTATTCAATAAAATACCTGTCACTTGAACAATAGATTTGAATACACAGTGTTGAATAGAAGCATAATTTTGCAATAGATTTTTAGATGTTAGACAGAATTAAGTACCCAGAGGCAAACTCAAACTGCAGCACCACATACACACAGATATTTTCTCCCTGAAGTAATGAAAGGAAAGGACATAGAAGCAAACAATATGACCTTTGGGTCTTATACTTGTCAAAAGTTATAAAAATTCAACTACTGAAATTCTCATTATAAGGATTACTTGAAACAAGTTTTATTAAACCACTCCAGCTATTTAAAAGTAAAAATAAAAGAGAATAAATAAGTAAAAACCAAATATAACCCCTTACCCTCAGCAAGTAAGTACCAGCAAGATGCCATTTGTGATAAAAATGACCAGCTGTTGTAATCCAATATTCCAGGGTTAAATATAATGTTTGTTTCACCTTTCTTTCTAACTACAGTAACCTTCTGAGAAATGCCATCACTTACTATTTTCTTTAATAGGAAGGGTTAGAAAAAGAAAGAGAAAGCCAATGGCTCTTTTTTTTTTTTCTATAACTAAACCTGAGGCTGTACTATAATAGATGCCAAATATAGCTTATGTTACAGTTGTTCTTATAACACCTTTTTAAGGCAATGTATGTACTACTTTCAAAAATGACTGAACAAAGAAAGAAGTTTATGAGTCTAAACCAGCAGTACTTGAATGTTAATCATCCCCTACAATCAGCACAACAGCTATTGCCAGCCATGCAGAGATAGGCAGGAAAAAGTAAATACTCGACAGAAAAGTCCTGGAAAAAGCAGGTCATTAAGATCAAGTAGAAGCAAAATGCACAAGCTCTTTCACTCCAAGCACGAGCTTAACAAATCAACTCTCTCAAAAAACTACAATATTGACAGACCTGTGGAGGAACCTGCCTCCTTTTTTGGTCGGGGGATGTGACATACACAGCTTGCGCATACGTGCAACTTTTGAACCGCGGTTTAGGAGAAGGCGAAGGTCCCTGGGGAACACTGACTGTGATCTACAAATAAATTACAATGTACATATGGGTAGGAGCATGGATTGCAGAAGTAAATATTGATTTTAAGATCAACTGAAGAAAAAGAAGCAGGAAGGTCATTTTTCAAGGACAGTGTTGGTATTCAGCAGGCAAAATGGGATGGCAATAAGGAAACCTCTCATTCAATCTGACACCCTTACCAAAAGCAACAAACTGTCAGGACTCAACACCAGCAGAATAACAATGAAAAGGGAAGCTCCTTTATAATTTACAAGCAGAGGCTCAAAAAGCAAGTGATCTTTTGTCACATCTTGGATAAACAGAGCCAATACTTATCTGCTCAGTAACTCTAAAAGAGAGTGAGCATCCCATACCCAACATACAGATTCGATTCAGACAAGTAAACTAAGCTTAAAATGCATTATAAACTTCAGCAGATGCTATCTGATGGTTTCAGTAAAAAGCAAAACTGACATTACAATCATAAATTAATTCCAAATATTTCATGACTTTTTTGAGATGACAACTATAAACTGAGAAAGTATTATTTTAAAATGCAAGTCACTGTAAATAAAATGCTACAAAAATTAAAAATGTATTGTGACTATGGAGAAATGTAATCAGCTACTCTCTAAAATGGTAATGCTTCTATCTGCTTTTAAATGTAAGCCCCCCAAATTTGTTTTATCTCGAGGCATCCTGTCACCATCAAAATGCACAATGCTGTAGAACTGAAGTGCAAAGCACTTCATTGCTGAATAGTAATTTTTAAAACAGTCTGGTGTTAGATGAGAGCCAGTATGAAAGTACATGCAGAGAAGTATGTTTGGCTTGACTGGGGTGAAGGGACTTTGCCCATGACACCCATGGGGCTTTTGCCTTCCACTGGCCATTTGACATCAAACTCATGGGGTAGGCAGGGAAACAACCAGTTTAGAGCAGAAAGATGAAAGCAGAAAAGTGAAACTCACTTCTTGTGAAAAATGCTGTTCATGTACTTCTATGTGCTCTTCTCTGGTGACCCGTGAGTGCCGCGGCAGCATCTCCACCTCCCTGATGGCTTCCATGGTGACTTGCTGGGGCAGGACTTGAAACAGCGAAGTCACATACATCAAGATGGACTTTTTATCTGGACAGGCAGTTGCAACATCTGGAAGGAAAATTAACATGTGTAATTTCAGTTTCCATATTTGACATGAGAAATAACCAATTAGTTTCATGGAAAGTTGACAGACTAATGAGCAATCTATTGTCCACATGAATACTCTAGAGACTAATTAGAACCTTACCATCAGTTCCAAAATTGCAGAACAAACTTGCATATCAATGAGAAGGAGCCAGAGTTTATACAGCTAATGTTATTTCATTCAGCATCATGAGATTCCCATCTATATTTCTTATGTCAAAATGCAATTTGACACCGTGATCCCCATTAAGCACAGCTAGACATAGGAAAAAGTGTATTTACTTGTGCTGCATAAATACTGCCCTTATGAAAAAGTGAGGACAACCTCATTTTCCAAGTCATGCCTTCTACATTCTCCCCACATCATTTAGCCACTGAAAGCAACAATGATGTAGGGGGGGAAAAAATTACCAGTTTTTCTTGTGAGGGGGTTCATAAAACCCAACCATTGAAGTCAAACTATAATAATAATAATAAGCTTTTATATTCTACTTAAACTTGCATTCTTCATGAAATCTGTGGAACATCTAAGGAACAGGAGATTCACATGCATTGAAACACATAATAGAAAAAAAAATAAATAAAAAGCCCTGTAAAACCTCTATGTTCTTTAGGAGTCTGTACAAGAAACTTTGCGTGAACACAAGGATGATTTCAACTTTTGCACATAGCCATGTTATACACCAGCTGGAAAAGCATTTCCCTGACTCAATAATTCAAGTCAATAACAATCTGAAACATGTAAGGCATGTGGCAGCTCTTTGAAATAGTTACTTTGTTATTTGCCATTGACACTTACTTCCTACACTCAGTCTAGTGAATCAAGATGTAAAAGGACAGTTGTACAAGAAATTTATTAATTCCATGAATGTTTTAACATGAGTGCTGGCAGAAAGCCAAGAACTATGAGTTTTTACTGTCTTAGATCAATCCTGTCTTTGCTAAAATTTGAGTTCACAGAAAAAATAAATCAATAATTCTACAACATGGCATCTCATTCTCTCTGCCTAGAATGTGGAATGGACATGAAAGAAGGCACCTTGCATTAAAAGTTTTACATATATTTGGAAATTAAGAAAAGACATTCTATCACTAATTTTGGTTTGGCTTTCTGACCCATCCCATCCAGTACTTTGCTTGGTATTTTATAATGGACAGCTGAAGGTTTATTTCTACTTAGCATTGGCTGGAAAAAATAGCACATTCCCTTTAACATTCCCATTTCTATAATATAAGAATTTTACTGTAAACATCTTCTTGTTTTCTCTTGAATATTCTACCACCATTTTGTTATACTTAGTGTCCACTAGCAATTGATGTTTACATGAATATCCATGCCTTCCTATAGGAAAGAATACACACTGAACAATCAGTACCAATTGTGATTTTCCTATTGTTTGTTCATTATTTTCCTTTTCAAAATGTCCTGTTAACCAAGTGGGAAAATACCTTATCTATCATTTATCTACAAAAATATCTCACACAATAGATAAAATGAGTACCTAGAAAATAATATATATGCTAAAAACTGTTTACACATCCTACCTGACAAATAAAAAGCATATATGCAGCTGTCAAAATCCACTGGCAAATAGGAAAGGATTTCATTTTTTAATCACAACAAACAGCTCAACAACCACAGTTGGAAAGCCTGGAATATCAGTCTCTCAAAAGTCTTTTTTACAGGCTCCAGAATTATCAGAGCAGGAATGACTTCTGCTATATTTTACCTTAATATTTTCTTCTTCTGAGCCCTAGTCTAACGTACTATCTTTACCACCTGCTGAGTCTGATGGTTGTTCGAAATCCTAGTAGCTAGACAGTAAATAAACTGAAATTCAAGCATTTTCTTGCAAGGAAGCTCACTATTTCTTTGTAAATACATTTATTTTCATTTGTGGGGAAAAAAAATATCTGTCAAACCAATATACACCTCTTATAAATTAATCTCAAATTCTTGGAAAATACAGAAGATTTTTAATAAATTTAAGACAAGATATGCAGGCTATGCCATTTTTCCAGCACTAGTTTTGAGAAAATTATCTGGGATTTTTTTTTTCCAGACCAATTTATCTTTTCAAATTAAACTCAGAGGCAATTATTTCAGAAAATTTTCATCAGTTTTCTTGGCAAAAACTATCCAGAGTAGGATTGAAAAGAATAAAAAAATAAATGAAAAAAATAGACTACAAGTCAAAAGAGAGTTTAAAATGGGAAACATTATAAGGTTAGCAGAAATTATATTAACATGTTTATTAATAAAGAATCTGAATAACTTTGGAAAGCTCTGGAAACCATCCCAGTTCTTTAATAAATACAGTTACACAAAAGTACTGGAAAAGTTTCCAAGATGAGTGTTCCAGTTATTGAGAGGAAACTTTTTCAGTAAAAACTTTCTGCTGACAGATTAATATTTTTGCAAAAGAAAACAGTGACTTAAACTTGTCAGATGAACCATATTGTTCAGACAACTCTTCTTGATACCTTTTGAGATCCATGTAATCACTTATTAAGACGTGGTTTCTTTAAGCATCATTTCTCATCAAAGAAACAAAATTACCTTGCAAGAGCCTGAGTTTATGTGCTCTCCCTGAAAACATATTCACCTCTAGCCATTTAGAAAGATTAGTCTGTTCAAGGAATCCCCCAGTCAAATTCACAAAATGCAGAGAAAAAAAAAACCAAAACAAACACACTTATTTTGATGTATGAGCCAAAATGCCTGTCTGAGTCTAAGGAGACACTACAAGAGCTCAATTTCGACCATGAATTTTAATGTAAAGTAAGATTTTTTTCCTCTAGAAAAGCAATTACTTGGTAACAAGTACCAAAAGAGCAGAAAGGATCTAATTTCACCCCAGAATGTTAAAATCATGAAATATAAGCCAAATCCACTGCTGTTGAAGTGTAGTTGCCTTTAAAGGGTTTTACAGGTTTATTTTGGGAAGCAATTTGCCTGGTAAAAGTTCACTGCAGCTTGATTCTTATTAGCAAATATTATTTGTTTTATGATGAACAAAACTACAAGATTGACTGTTTGTTAAGGATGACCACAATAAAACTGAAATGTTCTCAAACTAATTACTTTCTAAATATGTCAAACTCTTCAAAAAAGTGATCCAGCAACCAACTTTTTATAATCCTTGTGGTTCACAAGTGGTTTGGTTCTTGCATCCATATGTTTGGTCAATGATCAAATTCCTGATAACATTAAGGGTTAAGTGGAAATTATTATGATATAAGGTACATAAATAAGTTCCATACCAAAAAATACAGGTGTAGCAACAAACAAATCCAGTGTTTTCCTACACAGTGTTACAGTAAGTATAGAAAGCCACATACAGAGCACAAGTTGTAAGTGTTTATGGAAATGCTTCCTAAAATTTTCAAATACACAGCTACAAATGCAACTGTTCTTTTTTAATATTATTTTGCTTTCTCCAAGCTCTGACCAACTAACTGTTCTGACCCTATTTGTGTCAAATAGTTTTACTATTTGTGTTTACTCTTTGTATCAAACTAGTAGCAAAATAACTTTGAAAGAGGAGAGCTTAAGTGCCTGCTGCACTGCCAGAAAGATTATATTTCTGTACATAAATTGCTGATCTGGTTTCTTTACATTGTGAGACAAATTCCAAAAAATAATTTACATAGTGCTGAGAAACATGCTGAGAAATTTGAGCCCTAAAAATACAAGAAATCCTTTCCTCAAGGGAAGTAGCTAGGATTTTCACAGAAGCTTAAAGTAGAAAACATAGAAAACTAATTTCTAAATCTTATACATCACCTAATACTGTTTGCTTCTATTACATTAGTAATAGAAAATCCCAGTATTTTGATATTACTGGCTGCTAACCCAAATGAGATTTTAAAAACTGTGCTAAAAAAAAACGTTGTCCTCCCTTCCACAAAAAATTTGAGATTCTCAAAACTGATTTGAATGTTCAGAGATTACGTGGGGTTTTTTTCCCCGATAAATAATGGCTGTTGTTCTTTCTTTTATCAGAGTGAGGTTTGGGGGTTTGTGAAAGGCTTTTTCATGATACAAATACAACATTAATACTTATTACAGGTTCTACTGTTATTTTCAAATGCATCTGTATAGAAAGCAGAAGCTCTGAGAATCCTGAGATAAGACATAAATCTAACAGATACATAAATGATTAATTTCTACAATGGAAGCTCATTACAGGAGATACTTCCACATTCATATGGCCACTCCTAGTGTGGCACCAGCCTCAGCCACAGGATCTAAGATGAAGGCACAGAAGAGCATTTATGAAAGTGCAGCCACAACTCAGATGTAACTTTTATTTATTTTACCCTTTAGCCTCAAGGATAAGGGTGAACTTTTCAAAGTATGTTCAAAACTCTGTGGTAATCTTCCTGACAAGGCTACCAAAACATTTTGAAACAGCTTTCATAAAACCCAAGGTATATATTTTGATCTCATTTTTATGAGATTTAAACCTAAATTTGCAACTCAAAGTACATTAGACTGCAGTAGTAAAAACGAAACAGCTTACTCAAAAAAAGGAAGAAAAAATAAGATTTCATTCACAAATGCATGCATCAGAAATCTCAGAATAAAATATATCTTTTAAATGTTGCCCCCATAACTAACCACTTACAGACATTAAGCTATGAGAGAATCATGAGTCCCATTCGAGGTTTGCTCTTACTGGTGACTTAATTCACTGACTGCAAAAACATGAGTCTATATATAATTCATTTTTATTCAAACACCAAGAAATAAGCAAGATTATTAGGCAAAGATTAGAAGGTGTTTTGCTTAAATGTAAACATACTTCTCCCTCAGTCTCCACTTGGTCTCAAAATGATGTTTTCCTACAATCCATGTTTATAGTAATGGTATGATAATAGCTGGAACAATAGCAGTAATGATTTACTCGACTGACACTCATTGCTGCCACTGAGACCTTGAAGCAAAAAACTCTACAGTC